ATGTAGTAATTTATTCATAGTGCGAGATGAGAAATATCGTGGAATACTGATTTGATCTCTGTTGAGAGTTCTTTTTCCTACATGGTTCTGGCGATTCGTCATTGTGTTGTTGTTATTTAAAAATTTAAATCATCTGCGCATTGTATTCATGAAAATAGCTTCAATTTCATCAGAATCGAAGGACTTCCACAACGTGAAAAGAAAAAGATAATCAAAATTTAGAACAATAGTAAAAAAGATAGATTAAGTGTGCGTGAAGTTGATATGTATAATGAGTTTAATTCATAAAAAAAATGAAGTAACCGTTGCAATGGCTATAATGGGGAGGGAGGAGCACACATGACACACGTGATGGGTATAATCACTATCACGACCACGGGAGAAGGCACGATGTTCCCTCCATCACGCGTCCGAGTGGCCTCCACTGTTAGGCATGTGTGCAGCAATTGTCCCGTGGCGGAGGCTAGGTGGGCCAAGTCACAATCGAATGTCGTGGGCGCTTGTGTGATGAATGCACTATAAGGCTAGGGCATGCGCCTCTTCTAACACCAATTGGTTTTAGGAGAGTTGGTAGCGCCTGAGGTCCTACAAGTGGTATCAAAGCCAAGGTCGCGAGTTCGATTCCCAGCGGGAGCAATCGCTGAGGGGGAGATTGTTAGGCATGTGTGCAGCAATTGTCCCGTGGCGGAGGCTAGGTGGGCCAAGTCACAATCGAATGTCGTGGGCGCTTGTGTGATGAATGCACTATAAGGCTAGGGTATGCGCCTCTTCTAACACCAATTGGTTTTAAAAGAGTTGGTAGCGCCTGAGGTCCTACATCCACGTCGGTGATCACGACCCATCACATCCTCCCACACCCCATATTTTGTACTCGTAATAGAAGACTAAATATGTAAATCCTTTGTTCTAAAGAACCAGTTATGTGAACCTATTCTAGAACTTTTGATGTTGTTCTAAAAGATATAATTTACTTTAAATTTCTATAAAATATTTAAATAGAATACCAAATTTATAGATATATTTTAAGTGAGAGTATACGTGTCAATGTTGAATATGGAATAAAAACTAATATTGTGGGTGTTTCTCTGTGCTTATTAAAGTTGAAAATGGATAAAATCCATCTCGAGTATACAACATCAGTATCTGCTTTCGTTTTGCCGAAACATTATCTGAATCTGCATTCGTATCCGACAAATCTTTTCACTTTCAAATCGAAATCCAAAACTGGCGGATTTGTTATGGATTCAAATAAATCTGTATCTCACCGAATGTTTGATTACGTATCTGACTTTCCTAAAATCTGATGACACATTCATTGTGCTTATAAGCTCTTTATAAGTCAAAAAAAATAAGTATGTGTTACCTACTTATTTTCAAGCTAATTTTTTCATTTCTCAGTTTTGACCAGATTTTTTAGAAAACTATCCTCACCATTTATGAATATTTTCCAAATGACTTATCTATCATTTGAGTCATTTTACTTGCACGAAAGAATATTTAGCTTATAAACAACTTATAAGCTAAACACTTAGTCTCAAGAATAAGTCAATAAGAACTAGCACAAAGAAATACTCATTAATGTGTACAGAGTATAAAATTAAATAACATAATTAAGTTTATATCACATCTTATTTTTTGAAATTTTTATTCTATTTTTAATATAAAGTAGATATTATTGTACTAATTTTTTTTAAAATGAATAATGGAGTATTTCTCGATGCTGGTGATTACTGACTTATTGTTGATAAATAATTTTCAAGTTATAAGCGTTTTATAAGTTAATTTTTCTTTCTTGGAAGTAAAATGACTAGCTAAAATGATAGATAAATCATTTGAAAATATTCATAAATGATGATGGATAGTTTTGTAAATAATTTTATCAAAAAAGGAGAAATGAAAAAATTGACTTAAAAATAAATACGTCCTCCGTCCTATATTGATCTTCCCACTTTGACTAAAGGTCATTTTTAAAGGATGGATAAATATGGCTTTGACTTTGAAAAATACCCCTCCTTCCCAAGGACAGTCATTGAGAAGAGGAGGTGTAGCGCGGAGACGAAGAGATTTCTCAGCATCAGGAACTTGAATCCTGGTGAGCTTGTGATGGACCGGGTCACGATTCTACGGCGAGGGGAGTAGATGGGCTCGCTGAACTCGAAGATCCAGGAATTCGTGCCGGCGGAGACGATTGAGCGAGTTGATGACGATTTAAGGGATGACTCAATCTACTCTCCCTACAACTTAATATTCGAGTGCAACATATCTATACATTCATCGATCATTATCATCATCGTCTTAGATTAGTTGATCTTTTTCTTAGATCTGGTGAAGAAATGGAGATGATAGGTGAAAAGAGGTGTCAATGGAGGGAGGAGAAATGGTAGGGGAGATAGATCGAGATGAAAATGGACAGATCGAAGAAGAAATTAGAAGGAAGAGAAAGAAGATGAAGATGACAATGAAGTGATGGAGATATGAGAAAGAGTGTTGGTGGCTTAGTGGCGATGGATTGATTGAGATACGAAAAGGGCAGTAATGTCTTTTTGTAGGAGTGTGAAAATTATTTTAGGACGAAAGGAGTACGTTTTATAAGCACAAAGAAAAAAACAATTAACTTATAAGTAAAAAATATCTTGGCCAATCTTTTAATATACAAAGCTAAAGTGAAAACATAAATAGTGTAAGTTCCCCGCCTAAACATATTGGGCACAGTTTGGGCCTTTGACTCCAGGTATCGGATTGGGCAAAGAAGATAATTGATCCGAATGGACAAAAAGGTTTTTTGTTGGGCTAATGGGTCTTTGGTACCCGTGAACATTTAAAGCAAATATTGGGACATGTGTTTTGACGAGATGTGTTAGGACATGTCTTTTCACTTCAATTAATTTACTCTAATTTCACACATCTAGTGTAAAATCATCATTACTTTCTCCCCACAACCCATGTTCGAACTTAATGTTTATAAACCCTTGCCCAATACCTTCAATTCATTTCCCCACAATTAAAGCTTTTGAAAATTTCATCTTTCTAATATGACTCCAAACCGTGTTTTCCCTGGTCTCTTTACCAATCTTGGTGAGCTTGAAAAGGAACATAACAACATTGCTATCCACGTATGAGCTATTCGTGTCTATCACGTTCAGTCTTTTGAAAGAAATGTTGAATCCATGGAGGTTGTCTTTCATGATGATGGGGTATGTGAATTTTGTTTGAATCCTAATTAATCAAGTTATTTTTTAAAGTTATACATTCAAACAACCAACTGTTTTCAAATCATTTTTTGAAATATTCTAATTGTCCACCATATTTTGAACATGCTAACCGTCGTTCTTGACGTGGGTCTTGAGCCACGAACCATTTAATGTAAAGCATGGAGTTTTTAAGCATACTAAATTGAAAGATCCTTCTATTTTGACTTTACTAAAAAAAGTTTTTAAAAGAAAAGTAATAATACTTTTATTAAAACAAATGCATTCCTAGTGTAAATAATTTTCAAAATTGCTGGACATATCAAGGAGCATTGATATACGAAGTATTAAATTAACAAGCCATGTCAGATGTGGCTTAAAGTATAAGTAATGACTTCTTGATTTAATATAAGTAATTAACAAGCCATGTCGGATGTGGCTTAAAGTATAAGTCATTACCAACTTTACGTTGCTGTCTCTCGAGTGACCAATCGATGTTGTTTGAAGATCTTGATTTGTAACGATGACCTACCACCTTCAAATACGACAAGGAATTTAGTGTACAAGGAGGTCTTTTAGATCATTTAATTTAGTTTATTTTTGTCTTCACTATTAAGCATAGTTTTAAGAACCGGACCGGACCGGCCGGTTCGGACCGTGAACCGGCGAACCGGTGGCCCAACCGGTCCGGTCTGGCACCTTCGACCGCAAATTGCTTCGAACCGCTGTGAACCAGAAAAAACTGGCCGATTCGCCGGCCAGACCAGTTTTTTTTTTGTTTTTTGCGATTTTTTCGCCCAAAAATCTCACCCCACACGGGTTTGAACCCAAGACCTCTTGCTACCAAAGTTAAATCCCTAACCATCTCAGCTAAAGTGTCTTTGTGTTATAAGTTCACTTTACTAATTTTTAATATTACATTATTAAAAAATGTTTAAAGATTTCTTTTCATTTTAAGAACTTTAAAAAATATAATATTATAGCTATGATTCAAACTCAGAATTATTGATATAATTGATACAATTACAAATATTATGCAAAGATTTCATTTCAGTGTTTTTAATATTAGATAATTTATTTGAAAAAAAATAAAATCAACTCTTTGTTTATAAAATGTTTAATATTGTTTTTTTAAATATGTAAGTTTTATTGTTAAACTTAGTGACATAACTGAAGTAAATTAATATAGATTCGGTCAAATGTTATACTCCCTCCGTCCCCAATTTGATTACAAATTGCGGATTACGGAATAAAATTTTCTACTTTTTGAAATCATTTTATTTACAAATTGGTATATTAATAAGATATAAAAATTACATATTAAAAAACTACGTCAAAAGTTCTACAAAACAAGAGGTGACGAGAATATTTTATTTTATCAAATACTTAATTAAATCGCGTAAATAAACAAAAGTTATCGAGAGGAGAGAGAAAAATAGATTGTAATCTATTTAGGGACGGAGGGAGTACATTATTTACTCTAAGTATTTATAAATGAGAGAGAGAGAGAGTGTGTGTCTATATATATATATATATATATATATATATATATATATATATATATATAATTTTAAAAAATGTTTAAACCACCGGTTCGACCAGTTGAATCACTGGTTCGACCAGTAAATCAGTAAACCAGTATCGAGTAAACCAGTATCGAGACCGGTTCGGTCACCAATCCGGTTCTGAAAACTATGCTATTAAGTCCTCAATATTACTATGTAATATTTTTAATCTTTATATTGAATATCATTTGTTTCGTGTCTTTGTATACACTATAAATTTACTCTGTAATATATTATTTTTTCAGGGTCTCAAATATGACTAATTTGGGAATTGGGAGTGGAGTATTTTGGGAGTAAAGAGTAGTCAACTCTTCCTCGCCATTGTGTTGTCCTGACCGCCATCTCTCTGCTCATTGCCGTTCACATCAGCTGTTCACCTGGCGTCTCCATCTTCGTCTATCCATCTTCATCTCTCCCGTCAGGCATTCTTACACAGTACATATATATACAGACCCACTGATACTTGTGTGTTTGAGGAGGTTGAATTCTTGATTGCGTCAATGCGTAGAAAGAGCGAGTGCCAGATTTTGTGGAATTAGGGTTCTCAATTTGAAGAATGCCGCTGAGCAGGTACAAGATACGGAATGAGTTCAGCCTGGCTGATCCGGACCTGTACGGGGCCGCCGATAAAGATGACCCGGAGGCTGTCCTGGAAGCCGTGGCCATGGCTGGACTTGTAGGCGTCTTGCGCCAGCTTGGTGACCTGGCCGAGTGAGTAATATTTCTCCAGATACTTTATTAATATTGTTTGTGTGGTAGTCCGAGCTTTGAGTTCTTTTGCTCTAGAAATGAATGTCCTGAACAGTTAAATTGTTCCAGAATAACTTGTTTTTAGTTTTGTTTTCTCCAGATATGTGATAGAAACTCAGCAAGATCTGTTTGAATTTCAAATTTTCTTTTGAGTTCTGGCTAGAAAAATGCAAAGCGGATTCTTACATATTACATTTAGTTGATACTAATGCTTTGCTAAGTTCCAATTGATGTAAGTTTTTTTTCAATTGGTTCTTATAAATAACATGCATTACAAGTTGGATCAGGAAACTAGTGGTCAGTTACATTCATGTGTGGATATAATTAGAGGATACATGGTATGAGTTTTAAAACTTGCAATTACAAGGAAAATTTGCCCAAATTGCAACAGCCAGATGAGTGATCGTATATCAGGGAATTTGCCAATCACTAATAACACGCTTATCTCTTTTTTCTTGTGCACTCATATCTTGATTATTGCTGAAACTACTTATCTAATGTTGCATTAATATCAAACTGAGTGTATTACATGTGCTAAACCTTGACAAACGTTTTCTGCATGTGTAATCAAATTAAGTTATTTTTGTTGCTATATGGAAATAAAAATTTCAATGAAGAAGGGAATCAACTTTTGATCTATCATTCTATTGGTATTTATCTTTAATCACTTGGCTATTGTGAATATTCAAGGTTTGCTGCTGAAATATTTCATGATTTGCATGAAGAAGTTTTGGCAACTGCCGCAAGAGGCCATAGTCTGACTATCAGGGTGCAGCAGCTTGAGGCAGATTTCCCATCAATTGAGAATGTGATTCTTTCACAGACCAGTCACTCCTCGTTCTTCTACAATTCTGGTTAGAAACTATTGACGATCTTATTTCCAAAGTTAATGTTGTAAATATTCTGTTGTCAATTCTGTGCGAGTGCATCTTAGTCTAATTATGTTGTAAGTTGTGTGTGAGTGAATTATATGTCAATCTCATTTGAAATTTAATAGATCAGTTTGTGATTTTATAGGCTCTTAATTACTGATCAAAACATTGCTATATTCATTAATGTGTAAATGTTAGGATTGGCTTGAAAATCATGAATGAGTTTGGCTTGGAGAATATTATGATTTTCTACTAAATTTCTGTTCTTTTGTTGAATATTAAATAACACGGGTATAATGCAGGCACAGATTGGCATCCTAATCTCCATATGGATCAAAATTTGGTTACACAGGGTGATTTACCAAGATTTGTGATGGATTCTTATGAAGAATGCAGGGGTCCACCTCGCTTATTTCTTCTAGACAAGTATATTCTTGAATTCTATATATGTATACACACTACATTTGGTTAAGTGCTAAACCCCCTTCAGGAAAGGAAAATCACACAAAAATTTCCACTTCTAACAGGTTTGATATAGCTGGTGCTGGAGCTTGTCTAAAACGTTATACTGATCCTTCCTTCTTTAAGCAGGAAGCTTCATCCTTTGAAATGATCAATTCCAGTTTTCATAGAGAAAGGAGAACACGTAAAGCTAAGGTACTGTGTATTACAATTAAATTCCTATAAATGTTGCTTATGGGATATGTATCTACCTACTTTCAGTCAGCAGAAAGTGAAGGTGTAAATTCAAGTGGCATACCTTTTTGTCGCGGTCTATAATATGTTTTCAATTATAGCAGAAGAAAGGACAGCGCGGGAGGAACAGTCAAACCCCTGAGGTGTTACCCACATCACATGTCAAGTGAGCCTTCTGCTCTCTGACAGGACCTCAAATTGTGATGATATTTCTGTTTCATTTAATGTGCATTTTTCTATCTGCTTCATTTACACAATACATCATTATGTGATGATACACAGGCTACATCAGTTGTTCATGGAGGAGGAGCTTATCGAAAATGGGAATAATGACTCTAGACGTCATGTGAAAATAAAAAGAAGGCTAAATGGTTTTCCTTTTGACTCAAAAACTGGCAAAAGCTACATGGAAAAGTTTTTGAGAACTCCTTCGCCAGAGCATAAAGCTGTTCATGAAGTATGTGCAGAGTCAGTGCAATTGAAGCTGCCATTAAGTAGTGCGTATGAAACTGAGCCTGATTATAGTGGATCCAGAAAGGCAAGCGGCGATGAAAAGCTCACACGCTCACAGATAAACCTATCACCATCTCTATCGCCACCACAAAGCGAAGAGAATGATGTACTAGAAGAACTAAACGATGCTCCATATGAGGCTGTAACTGATGATGACGTTTTAGCTATTTCTACCCGCAGCCTTGGCTTTGATGTAGGTGACAATTTGCGTAGTTTTTATAAAGTGGCCACTGGTAATGAAGTATTAATCAACGGAGAAGACACCACGGGAGATATCACAAAGGATTACCACTCCGATGATGTTTGCAGTGAGGCAGAGAATTATATGGATGCCCTTGCTAGCATGGATTCAGATTTAGATACAGACTCCGAGTTGAGAGCCAGAACTCATTCCCCGGCTTTGAACAGAGACAAGCGTTTGATGACAAATCTTGATCAGATTCGGTCTCGATCGTGTGACTCTCAATCAGTGGGCAACTCCACTTCATTTGATGATGCAAATAGCGTATCAAAAAAAGAAGAATCTAGTTTTTCTTCTTCTGTATCTCCTTGCACTTCTGTTGAAACTACTGCACCTCTGGAAGGTCATGCTGCTAACATGACTGAGATCCGTGAAATTCAGATGTGCTCTCCAGTTGGCTCGCAACATATTGGAGAGTCAGTTGCATCAGCCCATCCTTCAGAACATGCTTTTTTTGATGTATCTACCGAAGCTGCAGAACACCACAGTCAAAGCTATGACTTGGAACAATCTAGCACTTCAACTCTTCAAGATTGTTCTTTGAATCAAGGAATAGTGAAGGCTGGGACAGTCACGAATGAAGATGCTTTGGTGAAACCAACTATTAGGGAAGCTTTATCTACTCTTGATAAAGATGAATTCAATTCCGCTGGTGTTGCAAAAACGGGAGTGTCTCAGCATATGGTTGCTTCTGCTCCGATTGAGTTAGTCAATCCAGGCCAAGAAGTTGGTGATTTGCCACCTATAGTGTCTGCTGAAAGTGAGTTGCTAGGTGAGATACACACCACAGATAAGAATGAAGGAAATGATCTTACTTATTCAGCAAATCATTCTGATGTTCCTTGTGCCAGTGGATATGATAAACCAGCTCCGCTGCTTATTGATGTTCACAATGAGGACTTAAGTAACAATCTTTATGTATCTAACACATTACTTCCTCAAAGTAAAAACAAGTATTTGGATATGCCAGGTGGGGAGGTCTTGGATTTGGTCGAGAATACAAATTATTTAGATGATCTCTCTCATTGTCTTACATCAAGCGAAATTGGTTATTTTCCTTCTTCGTCTACTGTTAACTACTCAACTGATGAATTGGATAATGAGGGTCGTAATGTTATACCTTGTGTTTCAGTTCATCAGCCAAATATATTAGAGGCTTCTTTGGAAGAGGAACACATCAAACATGATTTGTGTATTGCATCATTGGAAGGGAGTGCTGAAGATAATTGTTCACATATTCGTGAATATCACATTGATTCACCAAACTTGCCCGTGGTGCAAATTGAAAACAAACCTTTTGATTCAGCTTCCAAACATGACACTGTTCATACTAGTGTAAACTTGGACGAGACATTGAGGTTTGAGGAAGAAAATGCTAAAGGTACTTGTGGTACACTTTCAGACGGTAAGGTTGGTCCACCAAACCTCTCAAGCATGCAAATTGCTCCTCGGATTTCTGGTATGACACATCCCATCCCGCTACTTGATACTAGAGAACTTATTATCTCACAAAGTATGCAGGCAAATCTTGATGAGGCCCTAGATAAAAGATTTGCTGAAAAGCTTGGTCATTTTCACCCTAGTCCAAGTTTGACTGAAGGGGAGACCTCTGCACTGTCTCCTTACCCTGATTTAACAAGTGAGGAGAAACCCTCAGTCTTACATGTAAGGGTGACTGAGGCTCACAGATTAAATAATGGTGGTATATCTGCTTCTTTGGGTATTGAAGGGCTTCAAGATGACTCTGGCGAGCTAAGTGAAGTTGGCCACCACGCAAATTATCTTGATCAGCATGTCACTGATGGCTATGGCCACTTTCAGCCTGCAGTGCTTCCCTGTGATCCTAATAAAACCAGTTCCATGGAGCTACCTTTTGAGCAAAGTTCTTTAGATGTTGACCAAATATCTTTTGCTGGGAACAATTTTAGGGATGCCATGGGACACACTTCAAATTTGCAAGATCATCCATGTGCTGAGCATGAACCGGATATGCCAAGATATGAATTTGATCATGAAGAAGAACTTGGTAAGGGTGGCACAGATTCAAAACATTTTCCCCATAAAGACCAAGAACTTTTTTGTCAAGGTGACCAAGATGCGATATTTGATACATCTTCCAAATTTGTGGTTACAAACATTCTGGACCAACTACCTTTTCCAGAAGGCAATTGTGAAGATTCTTCCTCATCTCTGGCATCTCAGTATGAAAAACAAAAGGTTGTGAACAATTGCAGCCAGCTTGATAAGGAGTTGCTGATTGGTGATGAGGGAATTTCAACTTCAGTTCAGCCACCTCAGTCAGAACAGAGACAACTGTTGTGTTTCACTGAATTTGAAAGATCTGTTAACCCTTCTTCCAAAAAAGAGAAAACAGAAATGCCAATTCATTGTTCATTGCCAAAGCTTTTACCACAAGAATACCATGAAGGTTCCTTATATGTGCCAAGTCATGACTGTGCAGGAGTTCCAGGTCATGTTCACCATGATGAATCCTTTGACTCTTCTCCCAAAACTACACATGAAAGCCCTCCATGTCAACCTTCAGTGCCAAGACTCTTCCCAGAAGGCAACAATACTGTTAACATATTTGAACAGTGTAATAATCCATTCACTTGTGTACCTCCTGGTGGAGGAGTGCATCTTGGGACAGATCAGACCAATCTTGAGGAAATGCCTCCACTGCCTCCTCTCCCTCCTGTTCAGTGGAGGATAGGAAAGTTTCAGCATGCTTTCCCTTATGAGAGAGACAACAACAACATTACCCCAGAGATGATGAAAAATGAAGCATGTGTGTTGCCTAGCTTGCCATCTGAATTTGATCAGGCAGTTCAACCTTTGGTAAAATTACCTCCTATAGAGATAACAGATGGGGATTCACCTCTTGCTTATCAGAATGATGCAATTTACGATGGTTCATTCCCTTCACATATGCCAAATGAAGTTTATGATGAAAATGACGAACAATTTTTTGATGTTATGGCCAGAATGCAGCCTCTAAATTCGTTCTCACAAGTAATTCATGTAGATAAATCACACACAATTTCCTCTAAGACATCATCAGGAGAACATGACCAGCCTGCTAAGCAGGTAACAGATGCTACAAGTTTAAATGAACAGGAGCCTGATAAAGACTTCAAAAATTTGGAAGAAACTTCGACAACGAATAATAGACAAGGACCATTTGTCAGTTCAGATGATTCTGATTCCGTGGGTTCTTCTCTGTTAGCGAACACTGGCTCTACAAGTCTGGAGGAAAATTTCACAACAGAAATAGAATCAGTCCAACCTGAGCATCCAATAGCCCTTGATCATCAAGAATTAGCCAAACCTGAGTCTCACTTGGCAACCGAGACAGGCTCGAATGGACTGGATCTTGACAAAGCCTCTGTAATTTCGCAGGAGAATCTGTTCAGACATGAGACTATAGAAATGGAGAATGAATCAACTCAGCCCGAACACCAAATAGCATCAGAGATGAACTTGAAGGAACAAGAGTGTGAGAAGGGCTCTGCACAGGTGGAGGAGAATACGGTCAGGGGTGATACAGTACGCTCAGTACTGGAGGCAAAATTACGTAACCCTCTGTACAGAAAGCCTAATTTAGACGGAGATATTTTATGGCCAGCTGTGGAAGATGGAGCGGTGAATGAGAACAAGAAAATGAAGCTGCCTCGACCTCGAAGTCCTCTTATAGATGCCGTAGCTGCACATGACAAAAGCAAAGTAAACATCCTCTTTTTTAATAATTCCTCATCCTTTTGTTTTTGGAGGAAAATTAGTATTTGCACCCCACATTTTATCATTATTATTTGGGAGGTGATAGTCACACCCGCCAAAAAACTAAACTCGCCCAACTTATTTCACTCCACTTCCTTAAAACAAATTACTTCCATATTTTCTAAATTACTTTTAATTTCGTGCTTCACACGGACTCATATACATTTTAAAACTTTAAACATTTTGATAAAGTTATACTTTGACTTAAAATATGATTTTATTTATTTTAATATTCTAATAAATATACGGCATGTGTTATATAAATCTTTTTTAATTATTGGATATGATATTGTTTTGGACTAAAAGATGTAGTTCTATTAACTATACACTCGTTTTGTGTAAATGTTTGTTTTTGAAAAGATATAAAAAAGAAAAATGGTGAATAGTTTTTAAAATTTATATAAATCTTTCTTTTAAAAAAATAATAAGACTAATGTGATCTTCTTTTTAAGCTATTAAAATAATTATTATATAAATAAAAAACTAGAATAGTGAAATGCATATTGGTATATTACTTGGAAAATGAAAAGTTTATACAAATTATGGATCATTGAATTTAATAATAATGAAAAATATTGTAATTAATGAAAAATCAAATAATAGATGCCAAAATTTTAGAATCAAAATTTTTATATTTTTTTGAAAATTAATAAAATGAAAAAATGGGGGATAGTTTTAGAATAAAAATATGAGTAAATTCTATAATTGGTCCTTTATAACAGGGGGGTTTCCCTAATTAGTCCTCTATTATCAAATATTATCCAAGTGGTCCTTCTTTTATGGGTATCTTTCCACAAATAGTCTTTTTTTTGATCTTCTATCATGTTGGTGTTAATTTGAGGGCTAAAAGTGTAATTTCACAATGATAATATATCTTTTTTGTCATACACAATTTCAAAGGCTGTTCCGTTTGCGTCGTTTGTGAATTACAGTCGCTTTTTACTACAACCATAGTCTACAAATGTGGTCTTTCGTCAGAACCCTAGCCCACAACCATAGTTATTATTTTTGTGTTATCCGCTTAACCAATATCAGAACATGTCACTAAACATAATGTTGATGTCAAATTATACTTTTAGCCTTTAAATTAACACCAACACGATAGAAGATCAAAAAAAGGACCATTTGTGGAAAGGTACCCTTAAAAAAAAGGACTACGGGGGTAATATTTGATAATAGAGGACTAAATATGGAAACCCCCCTATTATAAAGGATCAATTATGGAATTTACTCTAAAAATATTAACATAGTGATGCATTACGGGGTGTATTTAGTTGACGGGGGTACATTTAGTGTTTTTAACTTGCACCCCAAACTCCAGAGCATCCTCCAAGAGTAGTGTAAAGTTAATTTTTAAGGGAAGCTATGGTGTGGAAAGTCTAGTAAAAGGGACCTGCTTGGCTGTTGCATTTTCAAAGAAAATAAAACATTGGATGTAATGTTGAATACTCGTATTAAGGTAAATCTTAGGGTGGAAGGTCTAATAGTAATGACTTGCTCTGTGGTGATGTAATGGTGGGGTGAAATGTCTAATAGAAATGACATGCTTTGGAGTTCGGAAGGAACTTCCAAGGAAATAGAACATGAGGTGCAAAGTGAAAGATTGTGGTAAAACATGGGGTGCAATGGCCAATTTTCTCTTGTTTTGTGTACTGACATGAGCTTGTTAAGAGACATACATTATCTAAAAATCTGAATCATTTTGCAGATGAGGAAAGTGAATGATAGAGTTAAACCCCCCGTACAAAAGGCAGATGAGAGAAATAATCTTCTAGAGCAGATAAGGAACAAGGTTGAACTGGGAACCTCAATCATCTATATGTTATATCAACTCTATTTGATCCTCACCTTCTCTTAACTGAACCCCCTTTTTTAATTTTATTTTAAATAATGATTCCAGTCATTCAGTCTGAAGCCAACAGTCGTGACAAGACCACCCAGCGTTCAGGCTCCTCAAACCAATCTGAAAGTTGCTGCCATTTTAGAGAGAGCAAAAACGATTCGCCAGGTCTGCCTCGGCCTGCACACATTGTATTGTATGTTCTCTTCCTTACGAAAAGTACTGATTTCTGATTTTGATGGTCTGTATAGGCTTTTGCTGGAAGTGATGAAGAGGAAGACGAGGATTCTTGGGATTAATTTATTCAAGAAAAAAAAGAGTTTCTCAATTTAATCCGTTGGCTCTCGCATGTTCCAGATTCTCAAAATATCTTACCAGGTTTTGGTAGAAAGAGCGTCGTTCCACCCAACCCCCAATGTAAGATATATACTCACCTCCTCCATAGCATGTATTCACTTAGGATTCTAATAGTTTATTATAATATCTCCAGTGTGCTAGCACAATCTTATTCATTTTCTCTGTAAATCTTTTAGTTGTCCTATTTCACGACCGTTTTTTTATTTTACATTGTATAAAAAATACTAACGGTGAAATTCATGAAGCACTAATTGTGCATATATATATATATGTCGAACGGTAATTGTTTTCTGCTTGGGATACATGGAGGGGAATCCGAAGTTTCTTTGAAATTGAAGATAAGACGAGCCATTTTCTAAATGGGAGATCTGAATCATACTTTTACAATGCAGGTTAGTTAGTGTGATATGTAGATTTGTGATGCTTAGTAGAGGGTTGGCTCTAATAGTCTAATGCTACATGGGTTTTTTAATTATATAAAGCGCAAACTGCTAGGTGAAATTGATCATTTTCGCTACTTATTTTTGTTATATTTACTACTATTGGAGTTACTAGCTCTGGGTTTGGCCCAAAAGTCCAACATAGCTTTTGGGCCAGAGCATGAGTGGAATGCTGGTCTTGGAGTGTAAGATGCACCACGACCCAGCAATACATAAATATTTTTGTTAAGTTTATTTAAATGGTTAATAAAAATGATGAATGTAAAAAAAAAATAGAGAGCACCAGAGAGGCGAGAGAGCGATAACATTGTAAGAATTTTGGGTCGGGACTGAAAAAGAGAGGAATGATGATGTGGCAGGCAATGAAGCAAGGTGAAATAAGTAATATATCTCGAAATAACCAAGTATAAAAATCTAAAATCAAAATTAGTGTTGCTTGTAATGTATTTGAACTATTTTTAAACCATGATAAAAAAATAAGCATTAAAAAATTAAACAAATAAAGCAGAACAAGAAAATCAAACAAATTAAATACCGAGTGCTATAGAAATATAAAAAAGGTTATATTAAAAAATAAAATACAAAAAAAAAGAAGTAAAAAAAGGATTCTAGAGTTAGTTTATTTTTTATTATAGTGGATAGAATTTAATTTGAGTAGAAATAAGTAAATGTTAAATAAAAAATGTTGTAATCGTTACACTAGAAGTAGAGCACAATATACGGGTGTTAAGTGAGTAAAAAAAATGAGTACGATCAACACCAACTAGGAAATTAGAGTATATCCAATGGTGAGTCCTAAGTTTTATTAAAAACGATGTTAACTTTTCGAGGACGTATTATAAAAAAAGTGACTCCCATTTTCAATGCAAAGTCCCATTTTGGTGTCCCATCTCTTTGAATAAATAAACGAAAAGGGAGATGGAATGAGTTGGGACAGTCCCAACTTAGAGCGACCAGTCCCTTTTTTTTTCTTCATCCAATGCCATGAGACCAAACATTAGTCCACTTACATACCAACTACGGAGTAGAAATGAAAAGATGAAATGGGACTTGCATTGGACATGCTCTCAGTGGCTATTAATTTAGAATGAATAGTACCCAAATATTATGCTCCCTCCATTCCTATTATTATTACTCCCTCCGTCCATTTTATAATGCCTGTTTCGGTTTACGATGTTTGACTGAAGTTATTTTCAAATCATTTTATATGACAAATGGTATAGGTTAAAAAATAAAAATTACATATCAAAATACTACATCGAAAGATCTACAAAACTAGTAGTGACAACAATATTTTATTTTATCAAATTGCTAACGAAAATATAGAAAGAAAGTGAATGAAGTTTGACCCTGTGAATAGTGAACATGCATTATAATTTGGGACGGAGGGAGCAGAGGCGGATCCAGAATTTTTTGACCATGGGGTCCTAAATTTTCTTACCTTTGAGTTTTTACCTTGAGCTAATTCATACTTCGTATCTTTTAAAAATAAACTCGAAAAATTTTTTCTATTTAAATCAATGTTTAAACCCTAAGCAACAAAGAACCAGCGTGGCCGCCAAGTTGCGAGTTTTCTGTGTCAATTTGAGTTTGTAGAGTTTTTTAAGGGATAGTCCAAATTGGTTAGGAGTCTGGTTTCCAGATTGACTTGCCCACCCCTCCAATTTTATCCAATTTTAGTGACCTGGATATACATAGTATCATAATTATTACTAGTATTTTACAAATGCATTTTACAACTGGTCAAACCAAGAATAAACAAAAATATACTTCTTTCCACTAATTAGTTTAGAAAGAAATTTGCTATATTAAGGTTTGTAAACATTTTTTGAAGATACGCATGAAATATCTTATTTTTAATACTCAGATGAACATCGAATATTTTCTTTCTTAAGAGAGAGCCAACCTCTAAAGATTCAAAATTGAAATGGCTTTTGAATCTTTTTTAATAGGTAAAGATTGAGTACTTACCTGGGGCACCGAAATATTAATACTCCGTATTAAATCCATACAACTTCCACAAGATTTTGGTTCTTTGCATTTTGAGTGTTTTTTCAAATATATTAGAATTGTAAATTCAATTTTAAGAGACAATCATTAATGAGACATTTTAGATTTACGATTGAAATGACACTAAAATTTTGTCTTTAAACAAATTTTTTGAGTGTTTACCTTTAAACAATTTATAAAGTCTAAAATTAACAATCAATTAAATTCGTAAATTATATTAGTAAAATACTAAATAAAATACAAAAAATGTTCATGATCAATAGATCTAATTCTCATTTTCAAATTATTTAAAAAAATATTGAAAGCAACATTAAAACCAATCACCCTAAGAAAAAAAGTGGTACTCTCATGCTGGCCAAGAATAAAGCCAGCCCAGGATTCGAACCCGGCATTACCTGGCTGGTCAGGAGCAAGCGCTGCCATTGGACTATCTCGAAACATTGTTTATCACAGGCTTCTCTTATTTATATAGAAAACCTAATACACACATAGACCTACATCGGGGTCCATGGGGTCCCGGGACCCCATGGGACTCTTAGTAGATCCGCCTCTGGGAGGGAGTACAATTTTATTTTCTTTTTTTCTCGATAACTTTTATTTATTTGTGTGTTTTCATTGATTATTTGATAAAGTAAAATGTTCTTATCACCTCTTATTTTGTAGAATTTTTGATATAGTTTTTTAACATGTAATTTTTATTTCTTATTGACGTACAAATTTATAAATCAAATGATTTTAAAAAAATCATAGAATTTTATCTAGTAATTTATATTTTGTAATCAGAATATAGACGGAGGGAGTAGATACCTTTACCCCTAGTGTGAGAATTATGGAAGAGTAAAAGAGCAATGGAGTGAATATTGAGATAAATATTACACCAATGTGACGTGGGCATGCATACTTCGCTTTTTTGACATATAATGGGAGATAACATGGAAGATGTTCCCCGGCACATACCATTATTTTAAGGGCAATGCTAGGGGTACACCAACATGAGGTACCCCAAATGTACACCAACCCAACACAGACACACACAGACACAAAATGTCTGTGCAACACAGACACTTTGTGTCTGTTTGTGTCTGTGTTAGCTTTGGTGTACACTTGGGGTACCCCATGTTGGTGTACCCCTAGCTTAATTCTTATTTTAATCCACCCCTATTGATCTAAAGGAGCTCTCCTACCCGTCACATTTTATCTTTAAAAAGACGATTGACGTTGTGCGGTTGGCAAAGACAGAGAGTGTTATGATGATAGACCCGATTTTAAGTTTTGGCAACTGCGCCGAAAAGCAATTATGTTAATAATATGACGGGCATTTTTGGGAATAACGTTAGCATTTTGAAAACGCTATCTACGGATAGCGTTTAGCATTAGCGTTTTCAAAGTAATTTGCACCGTTAAATTTTTATCCAAAACGCTAACTCTAATCTCTAACGATGTTCTCAAACAGGCCCGACCCGTGCAGGTTCCATTCTTTACTACCCAATCTACGATTAAAGTTCAATATACCTACTCTCAGTGACCATCCGGCCATGTCTAAGTGTGCTCCGGGGACGAGGCTCGTCCTTTTTTTATCTTCAGAAAACTAATTAAAATTGTCAACAAGAGTTATCCAATTTCTTTTTATTTACTCACATGTACTCATTCATAAAATATTTCTTTACCAAGGAAGGTTTTGATGAGTTAGGTGAGGTCTATAGCTTAAATTATCAATTAAAAAAAAGCTTAAATTATCAAAGAGAATGTCCCCACCATTTATTTATTTATTATTTATGTTAATAAAATTGATCTTGTCGGTGGGCATTGTTCAATTGTTTGAGCAAGAGATGCTAAAGAAAATTAACCTAAATTTGATTCTCGGCAACTAACTGCGCTAATAGGCAAATATGCTAATAGGCAAATATGCTAAATAATCATAAGCTTTGTGCAAGTATCAAGTACAAGTTTCATCATTGGTTAGCCACTTTGTAATTAAATTAAAACTCAACTTACCACTTATCAAGTGATTGTCTGACTAATTCTGAGGGAGCTCTTGAGGATATGACTTATCCTTTACTTGATAAACGTGATCCTATATTCCTACTTATTGCTGTTAAATAAAATTGATTAGGTGTATATTTGAGTTTTTCATGGCTTATTTTTGTTATATTTACTACTACTGGAGTTACTAGCTCTGGGTTTGGCCCAAAAGCCCAACATAGCTTTTGGGCAAGAGCATGAGTGGAATGTCGAACTTGGAGCGTAAGATGCACCACGATATGATGGCGGCGACCCACGTCGTGATAAATAGAGTAATTCTGTAGTATTTGTTTTTTAAGTTTAAATTGTCCAAGTACTTTTTTAATTTTTAGTATTTGTAATTAAAAAATTTTAAGCATGTTAACTTTTTCCTTTCATCAATGTAGTATTTGGTAATTTTTAATGTTATACTCCGTATTTCCTTATTTTTAACTTTTTAATTGTTACAATTTTTTAAAAATAATTATTCATCTATTTTTATTACAGTAATAAATAAATATTTTTATTAAGTTTATTTGAATTGTTAACAAATTAAAAATGATTAATAACGTGAAAAAAACGGAGAACAACATAGAGGCGAGGCGAGAGGATGATAACATTGTAAGTGTTTTGGGGGCGGGATTGAAAAAAAGAGAAATAATAATGTGGCAAGCAATGAGGCAAGGTGAGAGAGTGCTCATTGCAAATACTCTTTTGGGCTCCTCCTATTTTACCTGTCTGGCCTTTCCCGACTCGAGTGATGGTCCGGTTTATTGAGCCCGATTTGGGCACGGGTTTGTTCTCGAGATCCAGAGACCTAATGGATAC